GCGCCGCCATCACGCGGCCAGCAGGGGGCGCAGCCGCGGGCACCTCGGGCGGTGCCGCAGGCAGAGCGGCGACAGCTGCAGGGACCGCAGGCACAGTGGCGGCAGCTGCAGGGACCGCAGCCTGGGCAGGCGGGTCAGGCAGGACAGGTGGGTCAGGCAGGACAGGCGGTGCCGCTGGCAAAGCGGCGGCAGCAGCAGGCGGTGCTGACAGGTCCGGAGCAGGCAGGTCCGGAATGACAGGCAGCTCCGGAACAGGCGCCAGGATTTAAGGGCTTTAGGGACCCGTGGAATAGCATCTCGGATGGTGCTGAACCCCTTGCTATGTAGGCGCTCCAGCTGGTAATAATATGCCTCCAAGGGAGGCGGCTGCTCGTCGACTATGTCAAAGACTGTCATACTAAGTTACATGGTAGAAATGGCAAAAAGGTGGACTACAACATGAGTTTTTTTCGGTTTCCCACTTGGAAAAGACTTGTCCCACTTGTCATCGGTTCAAGTATCCGTGTTTTTATATAGGGACTCATAAAAGCAGGTAGAGGAGTTAACGAAGAGGCGTCCGGTGGCCTGGGACGCAGCAATGAGACGGAAGGAGGTCACTTTCAATACGATATCTCCCTTTATGTGTGCTTGCTCTCGGTATTTTCATAAAGGCAACTAAGATGTTTTTTTTGTTTGAGTAATATTCCTGAACATGCATAACTTAGTATGACTATCTTTCACATAGTGTCATCTTACAAAAAATAATGCCGGACGCAAATGCTCGCTCTTTCGTTATATACAACCAAAATGGCGATTCGACCCACAATACACTGCGGCTATAGCGAGTGTGACGTCGGCTGACAAAGACCAATTATTTTTTTTTTCATGAAAACTGTATTTCGTTAATTCAGAAAAACAGAGCGTTTTTTTTTTTTTTACATGAAAACCGTATCTCGTTAATTCAGAAAAACAGAGCGTATTTTTTTTTTTTTACATGAAAACCGTATCTCGTTAATTCAGAAAAACAGAGCGTATTTTTTTTTACATGAAAACTTTATCTCAGAAATTCCGAGATAATTATGTCATTAATTCAGAAAAACAGAGCAGAATTATTTTTTCTCAAGTGAACGCATTACGCTTCCGTACCCTAGCGCCCCACCTTAACCAAATTTAAATTTTCTTTCAAGAAGGTACCCTGGACCACCAAAAATCTACCCGCTCTGTCATAAACAGTATTGTTTACCTGGAAAGGCACTGAGTTATGAATTAACACCATAACCCCTCTAGAATGTGAGGGGAAACAGGACGCTAGCACCTTGCCTGGCCATCTCCTTTGTACTATCACCAAGTCATATCTGAGTAAATGGGTCTCCTGGATAAACACTATTGATGACTTCAGATGCTTAAGCCTGGTAATAACCTGCTTTTACCATCCCCCTTACATTCCAAGACGTAAATTTAAACATCTTATTTGGAGTCATCTGATCCTAATAATACTTAAAATTGTGTCACTTAGTATCATTTTTCTTAGTTGAGAGAGATGTTGTTGAGCAACATGTTGTTGTTAGCTGTCAACCCAAACAAGACAGCCCGCCCCTCCTCCCCCTGACTTTGGGGTGGAGTTACGCAAACGCACCGATCCAATGTAAACAAGGGAGCAGTTAGACCAAACCACGCAGTCGTGAAAGAACAAAATATAACCAACAAGTCTTTTCTGTCCCCCGGCGATCGTAAATATTTTCACGAACATGTACATCTGAAATGTTCACTATAGTCTCTCCTGCAGCTTATAAAGTGAATGAAAACCCTATTACTTCTGGGGACAATAGAGCCATGTTATTTAAATAAAAAATAATAAAATAATCACACAGAAAAGTCATAAGTCAACCAAAAGGTAAAATCATACCCCCTCCGCAAATATGTTATTGGCTCATAATAACAAATTCTAGCTGATACTGACGGATATTTAAGAAGTCATCAGTTCACCTTTTGATTACGCTACGCTCTTTAATCCTTGAACAAACTTCTCAGCCTCTGCTGAGATTTCAAACTCGGCATTTGTCCATCAGACGACACTCGGAGCTTAGCTGGATAAATTATTCCGTAGCGTATGTTCATCGATCTCAGCTGTTCCTTCTCCGGTGAAGCTCCGCCAATAGATCCGGGAAAAACAAAATTTCCCGCCCGCCACACATAACTGTGCCTTTGGCCCTGGCTGCTCACATCACTCGGACTTTATCCTGAAAGTTTAAAAACTTTGCGATGAGGAGTCTCAGAGTGCTGGGTCGATTAGAATGTGTCCGGCCAGGCAACCTGTGTGCTCTTTCAATGTAGAGTGGTGTCGGAAATGTTTCAGGTCCCAGTACCTCAGGGAGCCACTTCTCCAGGAAAGCCACCGCATCATCCTTCCATTTTCTCCGGCACGTTAACTAGTCGCAAGTTGGATCGGCAAGAGCGGTTTCTTCGGCGGCATGTTCTCGCAGGTTACAATAATAAATGGCTACAGGTGCAAAATTTCACTGTTCATGGAGTTAAAGTAGAATTCTCAGGATTTTACGCCAGGAGCGTAAAGACATATGTTCAGTTCACCGCCATAACCACGCCCCCCCACATGCTGCATTTTTGGCAGACTTACAGGGTGCCATACTGTGGGTTTTGTTTAATTGCAGTGATTACATTATATTTGATAGTGCAGGTGTTTCATTCCACCTTCACAAACAAGCAGAATCTATATTAAACATTATGGTTATGATTGGTATTTGATAGCAAATCAAAAATGTTACAAATGAGTGTAACCATGTGTTAAATATTAAAACATTCAGGAGGTTCATTGAAGTTCACCTCCATAATCCATGTCTTTTATGGGAATCATACCCTTAGCTGAAATTCTGTTACTTCTTATTTATGACGAAATTACTTAAGTTTAAGGTGAAATTGGACGTCAGCAGGATACAAACAATGACATAAGAAACACTGACATTGCTGTCTTGTAATAACTGTTTTATCTTTTCCTTAGAATGAGAAATGCCTCTTCCACTTGGCCGAGACACCAAGATCCTGAGCCAGACCAGGTAGGTACCCAGGATACATCTGCCCCTCTGGCTGCTGTCCTGGGGCCTGTTTCTCTACATCAGTCTGACCATCTTCCCTCAGATTATTATACATAATTGTGTCTGTAGCAGATCTGTGGTCCTTGTGCTCTTCCTCCTTCCCTGTAAGTATGGAGTCTGAGGTAGAGGAAGAGCCCTTATTATGACTCCAGCACACAGGAACATGTCAGTACTTTCAAGGTTCAAGGTTCAGTTTATTGTCATTCTTGACATGTTGTCACATGAAGAGAACGAAATTTGTGACTCACGTCCAGAAGCACACAGTCATTAAGAGTAATTTAAAATAAAAACTCAATAACTTAATAAAATAATAATAGTTGTAAGTAGATAAATAAATACCAAACTGTCTTAAATTATTTTACTTAAGACCTATCAATAAATTAGAGAAATTACGTACTTAAACACAGGGCAGCATTGTTAAACATAAAGCAGCACAATTGCAGTTGCAGCACAAAGAAGAGTCTGTGAGGTCATTCATTTAGGTTTATTGTCCTCACAGCCTCCAGGAAGAAACTGTCTCTAAGCCTTGATGTTCTGGCTTTGATGCTTCACAGCCTTCTGCCTGAGAGGAGGGGGGCAAACAGTCCATATGCAGTGTGGGTGGGGTCCTTCATGATGCAGGAGGCCCTGCTTCTGCATCTGTCCATGTAAATGTCCTCAGTAGATGGATGAATACTGTGAGTGACCTTTTGAGCAGATTTTACCAGCCTCTGCAGTGGCCTCATGTCAGCAGCAGAGCAGCTCCCATATCATACGGTAACACATGAAGTGAGGATGCTCTCCAGCACACCCCTGTAGAATGCTGTCAGGACCGGGATGCTGAGGCCAGGTCCCTTCAGCCTCCTAAGGACATAAAGGCATTGGTGGGCCTTCTGTACAATACTGGCTGTGTTGTCGGCCCACTGAAGGTCACTGGAAATGTGCAGCCCTAGGTACTTAAAACTGGGGACCATTTCCACAGCTACTCCTCCAATGAAGAGAGGAGAGGGTATGACCTCTCTTCCTGAAATCCACATCTCCTTAGTCTTCCCCACACTGATGCAGAGGTTATTTGCTCCACACCAATCCTCCAGTTTTCTCTCCTCCTGCTTGTACTCAGATTCGTCACTGTGGGAGATCAATCCCACTATAGTGTGCACAGTAGAGGGCTCAGGACACGTCCCTGAGAGGTGCCCATGTTGAGGGTGATGGGAGAGGATGAGACTCCATGGATTTTAACAGTCTGTGGCCTGGTTGTCAAAAAATCCAGGACCCAGTTGCAAAGTGATGGTTTCAGTTCAAGCAGCAACAGTTTGTTGACAGTCTGTGGGATGATTGTATTAGAGGCAGAACTGTAGTCGAGGAAGCAGCCTGACACAGGAGTCCCTGGTCTCCAGATGGGTAAGAGCCGAGTGGATAACAGAGGAAACCGCATCAGATGTAGCCTGATTCTTCCTGTAGGCGTATTGATGGGGGTCCCTGCTGATGCCAATGTGTCCTTTATGTGAGCCATGACCAGCCTTTCGAAACACTTCATGACTATCGGGGTGAGAGCCACAGGACGATAGTCATTCTGGCATGTCACATTGGAGCTTGTGGGCACAGGAATGGTCGTAGATGACTTAAGGCATATCGGCACCACAGCTTGGGAGAGTGAGGTGTTAAAGATGCCAGTCAGTACCTCCATCAGTTCATGAACACGTCTCTCAGATCCCATCCCAGGATGATGCCTGAGCCTGCAGCTTTGTGGGGTTTGACCCTCAGCAGGGACCTCTGCACACGCTTAGCAGCAGCTCACCTGATAGAAGTGCAAGCCTGGAGTTGCTGGAGCCTTCAAAGTGGGTGTAGAATGTGTTCATGGCATCAGGGAGAGATGGGTCCTTAGGGCATTCAGCAACTCTCTTGTAGGCAGTGATGGTCTTCAGAGATCGAATTTATCGACGGCAAAAGCCGCTGTGCCTTAGCAATTTGCCGTGCTGCCCTGAATATTTACAAGTTCTTGCCGGCAGATACTTGCAGTGCCCTCTTCCTCAGTTGCCTTTGTGCCCTATTGTGTATGTGTAGATCATAATAAAGTCAATAAACTTATGATATCAAGAACAAGTTCTTCCGTTTTTTACTTCTCTGTCGCCATGTCCATGATATCTGGGTTGATAAGCGCATCCCATAATTTTACGTTAGCCACGCCTCCATGGTTAAATTATTTAGAGCGGCTATTCTAGCC